GAATGGTTTGCAGATTGGAAGAGTGCCCTTTGCCAGAACTTACAGCACCACAGGTGGGAGTATGACTGAGGGATAATCACGAATGTGTCCGAGGAGTAATCATAAAAGAAACTATTTGTGATTAGCCATTGGCATTGATATTAGTGCCATTGTAAGGCACAAAGCATGGGAGAATCCATTCACCAAGCTTACAGCGAGTGGGATAATGTTACAGCCTTTGTCACTTTTGCCGAAATACTGCATGAAGATGAGTGAAAACGTCAGCCTCTTTAGATTTCACTAAAATAAAGATGAAACGGAAGGGATGCTTTCTATGAAACAAAGGTCAAATTATATTGGCTCTGAACACAAAATATGACTAAAACCTGCTGCACTCTTCATTTCTGTGCCCACTTTTTTACACAGAGAGTTGTTACAGTCTGGAATGTGCTGGGTGAAAGGACGGTGGAAACAGATTCAATAACAATTTTCAAAAAGGAATTAGATAGGTGTTTTAAGAGGAAAAATTTGAGGAAAGAGTAGGGGAAAGGGACTGATTGGGTAGCTCTTCCAAAGGACCAGCACAGGCATGATGGGCTGAATGGTCTCCTTCTGTGCTGTAATATTCTATGATTCTAAGCTCTGTCAAGATAAATGCTGATTGAAGACAACATATGTCTCGCCACCACAGATAATGGCTACAGTAGAGCAAGCCTTCTCAAGGTGTCTGCTTTGCTCAGTTGGCAGTACTTTCACCTCTAAAGTCAGAAGGTTCTGGGTTCAAGCCCCTCGTCAGGACGTCAGGAATGTCTATAGGAACATAGGAATTAGGAGCAGGAGTAGGCCATTCAGCCGCTCGAGCCTGCCCCCCCATTCAATAGGATTATGGCTGATCTTCTAACCTAACTGCATTCGCCCGCCTTATCCCCATATCCCTTAATCCTTCTATCCTTTAGAAATATATCATACTCAGTCTTGAATATGTTCAAGAACTGAGTATCTGCAGCCTTCTGGGATAGAGAATTCCATAAATTCACTATCCTCTGAGTGAAGACGTGTTTCCTCAACTCTGTTCAAAAAGGCTGACCCTTAATCTTAAGACTGTGACCCCTAGTTATAGATTCTCCTACCAGCGGAAACAGTCTCACACTGTCTACTCTGTCAAGCCACATAAGAATCTTATATGTTTCTATAAGATCACCCATAATTCTTCTATATTCCAGAGAATATAGGCCTAGTTTACTCAACCTATCCTCATAGGTCAACCCCCTCATCCCAGGAACTAACCTAGTGAATCTATGCTGCACCCCCTCTAAGGCGAGTATGTTCTTTCTTAAACAAGGAGACCAAAACTGCACACAACATTCCAGGTGCGGTCTCACCAAGGCCTCATACACTTGCAGCAAGACTTCCCTACTCTTGTATTCTAACCCTTTTGCAATAAACACCAACATGCCATTAGCCTTCCTAGTTGCTTGCTGTACCTGCATGCTAACTTTTTGTGACTGGTGTAAAAAGACACCCAAATCCCTCTGAACACTAACACTATCTAATCTCTCCCCTTCCAGAAAATAATCTGTTTTTCTGTTTTTACTACCTTGGTGAATAACTTCACACTTCCCCACATTATATTCCATCTGCCACCTTCTTATCCACTCACCTAGCCTATCTATATCCCTTTGGAATCTTTTTATGTCATCCTCAGAGCTTACTCTCCCACCTAGCTTAGTATCATTCGCAATTTAGATATTTTAAGTTCTATGTCTTCATCTAGATCATTGATATAGATTGTAAATAGCTGAGGCCGAAGCACTGATTCTTGTGGCACTCCATTAGTCACATCCCGCCAATCTGAGAAGGACCCGTTTATCCCTACTCTCTGTTTTCTTCCTGTTAGCCATTTTTCGATCCATGCTAATATATTGCTTTTAATTCCATGGGCCCTAATCTTATGTGGCACCTTGTCAAATGCCTTCTGAAAATCTAAATACACTACATCTACTGGTTCCCTCCTATCTAACCTGCTAGTTACATCCTCAAAAAAACTCTGAAAGAATTGTTAAGCATGACTTCCCTTTTGTAAAGTCATTTTGACTCTGCCTAATCATGTTATGGGCTTCTAAGCACACTACTATGACGTCCCTAATTAAGGATTTTAGAATTTTCCCTACCACCGATGTCAGACTGACTGGTCTATAGTTCCCCATCTTCTCTCTCCCACCCTTCTTAAATAGTAGTGTTATGTTTGCGATCTTCTAATCAATGGGAACTGTTCCAGAATCCAGAGAATTTTGGAAGATTACAAACAAGGCATCCATTATCTCAGCAGCCTCCTCTTTTAAAACCCTAAGATGCAGGCCATCTAGGCTGATGCTCCAGTGCAGTGTTGGGGATGCGCTGCATTGTTCGAGGTGCCATCCATTGGATAAGATGTTAAACCAAGGTCTTGTCCACCTGTTCAAGTGGACGTTAAAGATTCAGTGGCACTATTCAAAAAGAGAAGGGCATTTCTGCTGGTGTCCTGGCCAACAATCTCACAAATAAAGTTGCTCATTCAATTCATGGCTGTTTGTAAGACATAGCTGTGTGCAAACTAGCTGCCACATTCACCTAAAAAATAAGAGTAACTACACTTTACTGTAAATCGGGTGAAGTGCTTTTAAACATTCTCCCTATGTATCAAATTTAAATTTAAGGATTATTATTATTGTATTAAGCCTGTGGTCTGAAGGCTGAGACCATGAGACATGTTATGCCTCTGGAATGGGCAGCTTTCTTTATCATTTGCTGTAATTACCTCAGAGAATGGCTCATGGATGTGGAGCCGCCCAGTGAGATGTGAGTGTGTGTCTGATTTCCCCAGAGGTACAGCAAAATATCCACATCTGATTTCCCTGGTGGTCACATGGATATGCAAGTCCATTCTCCCAAATTGTCTAACAAGAGGCATGCATTCAATCTAGCTGGATGCACACTTCCTATCTCCCCAGGGTTCCAGGGTAGGACCTCTCAGAGGCACCAAATAATCACAGAAAGTTTACAGTTTGGAAGAAAGCCATTCAACCCATCATGCCTGTGCTGGTACTAGCTCCCCCACTCCCTCCCCCAGTGGAGTTATGTATAAGCATGCAAGCAATCTCCCAAGCAGTCAAACACAATGTGTGTATGATCTGGGGAGTGACAAATGGATTGTAACCACAGATAGATACACACTGGAACAAGGAACAGCAATCATATCATCTCATGAGAGAGTATTTCAAAAGATTGATGTAACAGGAGAGCATGAACCAAGGATTAACACCAATATAAAAAAGGGGGGAGTTTAGAAGAATTTAATTTTACACAGAGGATTGTCAGAAGTTGCTTGCTGAAAACATATATCCAGAAATGAATGTAGGTGGATTCATGACAACATTTGAAAGGGAATTGCTTTTTTTGGTTAGCCGGGTGTCTGAAATCAGAATCTCTTTGCCTTGCTTAAGAGTCCCCAAACCATGATACTGAGAGTTCCACATAACACATGGAAATGTTCTCCTGTCTGGAAGTGAATTTAGCACTCACTCCCTGAAGAGATGCACCTTGCTCACCTAATCCCGAAAAGAATTAGACGCAGGTTGGCAAGGATCGGGAACCCCAGAGTGTGAGGTCTCATTGATACTTGAGGACAAATAATATTAATAGATATGGTGACACAGCAGAGGACTGAGATAAGAGTGAGATAGCTTCAAGACTATTTTAAGGGTGTGTGGAGCTAGCAGCAGCATAGACAAAATGGTCCAAATGGCCTTTTTCTATGCTGTGAATTTATATATTTGCACAATGAAAGGGCATCCATTGAAAACAGAATTTAAGGAAAACAAGTCCTCAGTTTACAGTAGTCTGCACACTCCACTCTAGACAACTGGAAATTGCACTGCACATGTGGGGACTCTCAGTCTGGTTTGGATACTCTTGAGCATGAATGATGGGTTTTCGCGAGTGTCAGACACCCGGCTGCCAAAAAAAAGAGCTGGCAGCAGTAGATATAACAGGGCTTTATTGATACATCCAAAATTTGGATTGTGAAGAGTTGCAAACTTGCTGTCGACTCATCTCAAATTGCTTTGTGCTATGTGGGTGCCAAAGCCCTTTCTAATAATAATCCCTCCAAAACAAAACAATAATAAATCGGTCATTTTCAATCCACGACTGTTTGTGGGACACTGTTGTGCACAATTGGCTGCTGCGTTTCGCCCACAAATATACGGTCAATTCACTTTACAGCATATTCTGTGAAATACTTTGAGACGTCAAGAAGACGTGAAAAGCGCTATATCAAATGCAAGGATTATTATTATTATTACAAGATAAACACACAGGACTGTAATCGCTGACTTCCACAGAGTTTGAGGAGAAAGCTGAGTACTAGTGTTGGTGGAGGATAAGTGGGTAATGGAAGGAAGTGTTGAGGTAAGCAGACAATTGCAGCAGGTATTCCCCTTTCGTCTGGGTTAGAAAGGGGAAATGCAATATAATACAAATTTATTGCCAATTGTTTCTTGTTTTAAAAGTAATGTTCCACCTTTTTTTTTTAAACAGGAAATTCTCCCACTTCTCCTTTCTCCAAACCTCTGAGTCTTAGCTACACAGGGAGAAGAGAATTGGTGGCCAGGTACCAAGCCACTGGAAACTCCCTTCCCTTTCTCAAATTTCAGCGCATTGGGACGTCATCCTGACATGAAAGACACCACAGAAATGCAATTTGTTGTTGTTATTGAAACAGTGTCATGGAATCTTTCACGTTCAATTAGACAGGAAGCCGGAAGCTTGGTTTAACATCTCATTGAAGGATGACACCTCTGACAAAACAGCGCACAGACTGCATTGGACACTGCATTGGAGTGTCAGCATAAACTATATGAATTCATCATCCCGATGTGGGATTCGCAACCTTTTGCCTGAGAGGCCAGACTGCTACCAACTGAGTCAGGCTGACACTAGGATATGTTGATGCTGGGTGAGTTGATATGTTGGCTACTTACTGCATGGATGTCTCTGGATTTTCACTTCACTGATGGCAACGTACCCTGGCTGGCCTGAGGTAACTGCTTCAAACACAACCTGCAATAAGCAAAATCCTGTTTCAATAAGTCATTGCAGGCAGTAAAACTAGAAACACTTTTTTTTAAACATAATAATAAAATTATAATACAAATAATACCTTTGGGAGGACGTCTCAAAGCGCTTCAAAGGATTTACTGTAAATTGTAATGACTGTTTGTTTTGTAGGTTAACGTGACATTTCTGATCATTCTATCTGACAATCCTCTATTCTTTTCTCTCTGCAATTTGACGACTAGGATAAAGTTTTCACAAGCATCTCTGTCCGCAAATATCTCCCGCGGGGATGGTGATTCAAGCCTTGAAATGCATGAGCACCTTGTGGAAGGGAGAAAAGGGGTTCATGGGTCATCTGAGCTGAGCCTGATCCTCGGGACATCCTCCTGACATGAAAGGCGCTATATAAATGTAAATTTGTATTGCATATTGTATTGAATTGATCTGGTTGTCATCCAGGCACTCCTAACTTATGTGTTGAAGCAAATTGTACAATACAATATAATTTACATTTATATTGCATCTTACATGTCGGAAAGACATTCCAAAGCACTTCACACTGCTGGCTGGGCATTTAGTCATTCACTTCATGGCTGTTTGTGGAACATTGTTGTGCGTAAATTGGCTGCCATGTTTGCCCACAAAATACAAAGTCTTTATACCTTGTAGCAAGTCCTGCGAAACGCTCTGCAACATCCTCCTGATGTGAAGGGTGCTACATCAAATGTAAGGATTATTATTAGTAGGAGAAAGAGTATTTTGCAGAAGAACATCTCACAGGCTTAAAAAAAAGGTTGGAATTTCAGTGCTGTGGTATCTTATTGTTACATTTTGTAAAGTCGATTGCCTTTGGGAGCCTGAGAAACATCCAAGGGTTTTACATTTCGTAAGGAAATGCGCCAAGGTCCGGACCTGTCAGACCTGAAGCTTCCAGCTGCAACAACATCTGGAGAACGCATGCGAGGAGCTTGATTTCTCCAGGATTCAAACCTTCAAAGCAGCAAACCCCCCACCACCCTCACTTCCCCTCAAAATGACCACTGTAATAGCTCTTTGTTAGTTAAAGCAATTTTGGGGAAATGTTTGGCAATGTTTATCAGCCAGGAAACAACAGAGCAACTCCAGGCTTTGCAGCTACTCATGAAAATGCATTGGATATTTGCCCAAGAGTTGGTTTACATCAAGTCCCTTCCTAACAGGAAACCAGTTCCACATCACATTGCAGACTCCTCAATCTTCACTGTAAAGCAAAACTATGTTTTTTTTGAAAAATAAACCAAATTCACCTCTTCCATTATTTCTCCCCTTCCTAACTCTCCCAAGGGTCTTTGCCTAGTTTCCCCCTTTGGTTATCATATGTATACATAAGGGAGAAGAGTTTGAATTCTGGCGTGGAATAGCCTGTTTCTGTACAATATGCACTCTGTGGTGCCAGCTACCTGCTACGTGAGCCGGCTACTCAAATCAGATTGGCTGGGAGCCCTGGTATAGTCCAAACTGCCCATTATTCCTATCTCCCATTCCCATTTCATTCTCAGTTTGGTTTGGATACTCTTAAGCATGGTGATGCGTTTCCGCATGTTTCAAACATGCTGACCCCCAATTTTTTTTTCATTTATTTCAACTTGTATTTATATAGCACCCCCTCACACAGGTTAGAGAAAAGGGGGGGGGAGGAGGGGTGAGAGGAAGAGGGAGATGATGGGGGGAGGGAGGGAGGAGGGAGCAAGAGGAGGCGGAGGCGGGGAGAGGAGGGTGGGGGGGGAGTGGAGTGGTGGGGGGGGGGGGGAGAGGAGGGGGATGGGAGTGAAGGGAAGTAGGAGAAAAAGGAGAGGTGTGGTGGGGAAGAAGTTGGAGGGAAACATGAAGTCCCAATTGTACGTTCGCATCTGTAACGCTGCTAATGGCTTAGATGAAGTTTTACTAACATCTCACGGAGGTTCGCTAGCCACAGGGTATTAATTCAACAGGAAATTGGTGTTAATAAATACTTCCTAACAGCCTGGAACTCAGACCCGAGGTTTAACACCAGACTTTATGCAGCAGGCTGACCCCGAGCTCATGTCGAAAAATACGAGGTTTTGGCAGGTTAATAGCTTTTTTGTGGCCCACTTCTCACCTTTGATCTGCTATTACTCACTATTCCCATTGGCCATGTTTCCTCTGCTATTAATACCCTGTACAGGAACACGCCGTGTCGCAATGCTCCAGTGAAAGTGATGGGATTTATATGCCGAAAGCTGGACCCTGCAATTTGATTTCCTTGCCACTCGTCAACCTGCAATGTGTGTGCAAGCCATGTACACAATGTAACACACAATGCAGGTAACAGGGCTGAGAATGGCTTGTGCTTAGTATTATTAGAGCAGGGAGAGTTGCAACGACGACAACAACAACAACTTGCATTTATATAGCGCCCTTAGGATAATGTCTCATAGTGTTTCACACAGATAGGGAGATACCGACCACAGGAGAAGGGAGCTGACGTTATGCAGGGTCAATGTGCTAGATTTTTAGGTGGATTCAAAGACAGACAGATGGGGTTAGGGGAGATGGAAGAATAGAAGGACAGCATTCCAGAAGTTAGGAGTGTAGCTGCAGAAAACTTGGCCATCAAGGGATGGACGCACGTAGCAGACTGGAGTTAATAATAATAACCCTTGCATTTGATATAGCACCTTCATGCTGGTGAGATGTCTCAAAGCGCTTCACAGAAAAGTAGATTAACCGTGTATTTTGTGGCATCAGCCAGTTGCACACAGCAGTGTCCCACAAACAACCATGGAGTGAGTGACCAATTTTATTTGGGAGGATCGTTGGGCAGGACGATTATGTGGATTCCAGTTGTGTGTATTTGTGTGTGGCTCTGTCAGCGATCCAGCTGTGTGTGTGTGACACTGTCAGCGATCCAGCTGTGTGTGTGTGACACTGTCAGCGATCCAGCTGTGTGTGTGTGTGACACTGTCAGCGATCCAGCTGGGTGTGTGTGACACCGTCACAGGGATTCAGTTGTGTATGTGTGTGTAAGGGACGCTGTCACAGATATTCAGTACTGTGTATGTGATACACTATTACACAGATTCAATTGTGTGTGTGTGTGTGAGTGTGTATTAAGGCACAGTCACAGAGATTTGTTTGTGTGTAAGCGGCACTGTCACAGAGATTCAGTTGTGTGCAAGACACTGATGTAATGTAATAAGACACTTCATCAAATAGTAGCACTATTATCCTTTAACTGGTTAGCCTAAATCCCCTGAACATAATTAATCGCAGTCGAGTTTCCTTGCTATTTCCAACAAAATTCAGACCTGCCAACGTTCCCAATTTAACAATGTAACGATTTGTAATTCTATCATCTCACTTTACGTGGTTAATTCAGCTGCACCTGGTTTGGGGTTGTTCAGTGCTGACGCTGCGAGCAAGAATTCGGCAACCAGGCACTGACCAACCGCAATGCATTGCTGTGTTTTGCAGCAGGAAAATCACTCACAGATTGATTTGAACCAACTGCCTGGAAAGTTATCCATTTGTCCTCCCCTTCCCCATGTTAAATGACAATTGATCAGGCACGTCCTTCCAATGAATCGCCGGCATTTGTAGCGGTTTGTGGCATCTACTTAGAAATCCGATGGAAAAAATTGCCCACCCCGTAATTTAACAACACAGGCACTGAAGCTTCTTAGAGCGTAATTACAATGAAACATACATTTATATATCACTGGAAGGATATCACAAAGCGCTTTACACTATTGGCTTTTGGGGAGAGAGTGGTGGGGAAAACATGATCAAAAGTGCCATCAAAGGGGTAAGTCTTGAGATGGGCTAAATTACAAAATACCAGAGTGAAAGACTGGAGGATTGAGCAGAATTAGTACTTTTTCTTCTGAGTAGTGATAAGATATCTAAAAAAAACTTTGTGATATAGCGTTAGTTCCCAATAATGTTCTCTTGTCACACCCCTTGCATCAAAACATCTGAAAGCACCTCATGGGTAATTGCTGTCAAGTGCTTGCGATCGTAGCTGTTTTGGGTCCTGGCTAACAATCGCCTGTGTAAATTGGTCATTGACTTCATGGCTGTTTGTGGGACTCTGCTGTAAGTAAATTGGCACAAGACACAGCTATTACACCTTACAGTAAACGCTTTGAGACATGCTCCCAACATGAAAGGCGCTGTATCAAATGCAAGGATTATTTTTTATTATTATAAAGTGTTGTTTCAAAAGAACAAATCATCTTTAATTGAAAGTGGTTCAATCCTCGCCAGTCGATGGCAATGAATGTTCATGTGGACACTGATGTACCTGATCTGTGATTCGGTGCCAAAAGCCACTCACAGGGCTGATTTATTTATACTAACCATTTCACAATTTATTTCCAGTTTGGAGACTTCAGAAACCGCATTTATCTCACAATTTGGAATTGAATTTTTCCTGGATTTGATGAGAATGTCAAACTCTATTCTTTTTGTTGCCAACATCTTTGACTGTTAGCAAATTAAATTGCAGACAGTAAAATGGTTTCACATTAGGTCTCAGGTGTGTGATAAATTGGTGCAAAAGCATTGGGTGACCTTGGCTCTACCAGGCAATGATATAGTCACTGATGAAGCTGGGATAGCCCCTCAGCTCAGAAATCCTGTCCACGCTAACATGTCCACTGCAATACTGGGGAGGAGAGCATTTCATCTCCTTTAGAGTGAGATATTAAACATTGCTATCTCTGAATGGGCAGTTAGGCCTTTGATTATAGGATCCCATGGCACAAGTTCAAAGGGAAGAGAGTTTCTCCCAGGGTCCAGTTTATAATGCCCACAAAATATACAATCAATTCACTTTACAGTATATTCTGTGAAGCCCTTTGAGACGACTCAAAGAGGTGATAAGGCTCCATATCAAATGCAAGGATTATTTTTATTATTATATTATATTCCTCCCTAATCCCAAAGCCTAAGAGAAACACAGATTAATGTTGGTCACTCACCACCCTGCAGTTTGTGGAACGTCACTGGCACAAACCAGCTGCTGCTTTTGCTGAGATAATAATAGTCACTACACTTCAAAGTAACTCACTGTGCGAAAAGTACTGTGGGAAGTTTTGACATCTTAAACCGCTACATCAAATGTAAGAGCTATTCCTTGGAGACCTTTCATTCTACTAGAGGAGGTCATCTTACTAACCTGTGACAAAAAGACGGACAGATGCCAGCTAAATAAATAGAGCTTCATCCAGTGAGACAATTGAAAATACCTAATTCAATGACCAAACTTTCCCACTTAACAACAATTGAATGTTGGGTAGGAAATGGTTAGATTGTTTTGATGGCATTCAGAAGGTTATGGCACATTGAACTCATAAGCCAGGTTGATACTTCAATACATTGTTGGGGGAAGAGCTGCATTGTCAGAGATGGCGTCCTTCAGATGAAACCAAAAAGCCATCTGCCTGTTCAGGTGGGCATTAGATTATTATTATTATAGGCATTATTCAAAAACAGCAGTTACTCCTGGTGTCCTGGCAACAATCCTCCAGCTAAAATTGGTCACTCACTTCATTGCTGTTTGTAGAACATTACTTTGTGCAAATTGGCTACTGCATTCACTTACAAAATGCACATATACATTGAACTCCTGTGAGGGGTTTGAGACATCCTTCCGACGTGAAAGGTATCCATATCAAATGCAAGCCATTATTTGATGATGTATAAGCATTAATCATGCCATACCTGGTACAGACTTGGCCAGAAAGTACTTATAGCCAGCTCAGCCCAGCCTGTGGTGACCAATCCAGACACATTCCAGATCGGGTTCCCGAGCAGTCCCTCATTGACCTTCACGTAAACATTCAGCGTGCCTGGTTTGACCCCTTCCTTGGCAGACAGGGAATAGTGGAAGTTAATGCAGTGCGTGTCGTTTTCCTTTAGCTTCGGCAGTAACAGATGTGCTTTCTGCCCCGCATATCGTCCAGATGTGTTCACCATCATAAATGACCCTGTTTAAGTGTAGAAGTAAATACACATTAGGCACTCAGGACTACACTCCTTTTACTCAATATGAATTTGCTATAAGACCAGGAAAACTATCATAGCACTTAGAAACATCTCAGTTGATTCTGTTGGGTCTACATTTATTCTATTTTCTTAGCATCTCAGAAAATCCAGAATTCGGCAAATGATTGAAATTGAAACTCTTTTAAACTCTCTCCCCCAAGACATGTACCCTGCTCACCTCATTCTGGAGAGTAAAGGATACAGGTTGGCTCGAGCCAAGGGTTGGGGCCTCCAGAGTATGCATCTAAGTAATGATGAATTTTGACCAACTAAAATCTCAAGGTTTGCTACTGAGAGCATTATCAAGGTTCCTGCTGCTTCTCGAGCTAGGATCACCTTATTCATTGGGTTTTTGCTTCCAGGGTTAACAGGAGCTAAGTGTAAATAATAACTGCTCTACCAAGACCTAGTCAATACTGCCCTGGAGTATTACGGAGCAGTCTGGCTCAGGAGCGAGACTACCGAGTATAAACTCAGCCCCAAAGAGACTTCACTTACCTCCCTCCCCGAGAGGATAGTTGCTAGGGCAAGTAATTGACAGCTGGAATTAAGCACCTGAGTTCTGAGAAACGCCTGTGGAAGTTGGGAATGTTCACATTGGAGAAGGAAAGACTCGCAGGAAATCGTATTGAAGTATTCATGATCCTAAGTGGTTTAGATAAAATTATAAAATTTCTCAGATCTCAGGTGCTTAATTCCAGCTGTCAATTAGGCTCAAATAACAAGAGACACGCACTCATGTTAAAAAATAGACAGTTAAGATTTAATTGCATTACACAGAGAGTAGTAAATATGTGGAATAAGTAACACAGGGAGGTGGCGGGAAGACAAGTCGTATTGAGGGGCAATTGCATTCACAACCTCTCAATTTTAAGAAAGGAATTAGAAAGCTACAGATGAACCCTGTTGTTGGGGTCTGTAAAATCAGACTCTCCCTCATTGTGGGTTATTCATGGAGTGGTCACCAATTGGCCCTGATGCCACCGGACTCATCCTGCCCTGCCCATGTGATCATTGTACATGTGTGACCTTTGGCAGCGAATGTTGGCAAGTCACTCAACCGCAGGGTACATCAGAGCTGACCTCTTCCCACCCAATATACCCTATCAGCAGAGGATGCTGAAGAGGGAATCCTGTCTGTTTATTTCCTCCTTATAACAATACCAATCTTTGTATTTGATTTAGTGCCTTATTACTCTGTTGAGACATCTCAAATCGCTGTACAGAATATATTGTAAAGTGAATTGATGGTATTTTGTGGGCAAAACTCAGCAGTCATTTGCGCACAGCAAATGCCTGGGAAGGCTTATTTAACCTCCCATGCAGCTCAGCTGAGACCCTCAAACTCAGCACGGACCTGGATTCAAACCAGAAAGTTTCTGATCTGTATGCTGCAGCTCTATTTGCTACACTACCCTGGAAGCTCCTCATAATTCAAAACAACTATGGTATCCTGTAACCTCTCAACCTTCTTTGTTTCCTTTTATGAAAAGTTATTTGAGAGTAGTTTGAATGGTGTTCCTGTGGAGCAGCACAGGCAAAGATCACAAAACACAAAGCCAAACTACAGGAAATATTTGTGAACAAGTCCACAGCAACGGTATTCTGCTGTGTAACCAGTGGAAGCGATAAATGACTTGATTCCAACATGCCTTCTCTGACCTAAGAGACACTTGGAAAAATAACTTGCATGAAAAAAATGAAACACGCGTCTAACTTTAGATGCCGATTAAACCTGAGTCAAAGGAGGCAACTTGTGATTTGTCTGAAGTGCAGATCTATAGGACATCCTTTCAAATAACCCTGTCAGATTGGAAGCAGATTTGAACAGTGAGTTTATGATCTTCCAATTCGGACCAGTCCTCCCAATACTTCAGCTGGATATTGGCCCCGTGCTCAGGTCAAAGCAATTTGTGAGGCCACGAATTTAATAAATGGCTTTGGTTGGTGCCACACAGCCAAGAGCATACACTGGTTCACAAAGATCATCAATGCTTCTCAACTGCTCCCTTAACTTCCCTTCATCAGCTCATCTGTCACATTTACTAATGAAGAAAACCTGTGGAGTGAAAACCATCCTTTGGTAACAATTAAATCGTCCATTATAAGAAGATGACAACTTTCACCCGGTAACCAGCACGGACAACAACAACTTACATTTATATAGCACTCTTCATGCAGGATAGTGTCATAGAGCATGCACTGACTTAAGCTGGTAGTCACGCAATGGAATATTTTCATTGATTGCATAAAGGTAAGACCATATGTAAAACTGGAAATATAGGTTAATGCTGTCCAGCAGGCATATTGTTCCCACACGGACATAGGCTTATAGTGCAAAGAAGGTTCAAGCCTCTGTGCTCATCTGCGATCCATCCTAATGATTTTTAAGCTGCTCAATGCGGCATTAAGTCTGGTATTGACAGCAATATTAGACTAATGCAATGTATTAGAGATATTTTTTAATAACTCATGGTTTTATTAGAATTGTTGGTAATTTATTTTACAGATTTCTGTCTTTAAGAGTTCTATTTGGATTAATATTATAATCCACCTCAGTCTGTTCTGTTGTGTGGGTAAACACGCATGTGTGCATGTGTGTGTAGGTGTTTCTCTTCAATAGAATTTAAAATACTTCTGCTCCCAGTGTCCCAGCTCAGATTCCCAGTGACACAGCTAGGGTTCCCAATCTCCCACCTTGGGTTCCCAAACCCAGTTCAAGCTGCCAGTCAGCTGTGTGAAACACTTTGAGACATGTTCCTGAGGTGAAAGTCACTGGGTAAATTACTGTTTTTATGGAAAAACAACAACAACAAGATTCCATTTATAAAGCGCCTTTCACGTCAGGAGGATGTCCCAAAAACTATTGTCAACACAAGCACCAGGGATGGCATTAGATCTAAAATGATATCTATATAATCAATATTCACACTTACTGGTGTGCAGTTTGTTGCAACTGTTGTTCATTGTGAGGAATGTATGATTTTTGATATCCAATAATGAATTGCTTGTGTTTTCTCTCTCCATCCTGCCCCCTCCATAATCTTCCCATGACCCATCTGCAATTCATCCGTCAAGTATTCCATCATAAAATGAGGGAACATCCCATTGAAATTCGCTTTCCAAGAAACAGGAAAACAATCTCAATTTAATAAATGATGTTTCGAATGAAAGATTAAAGAAAAGGATCTTTAAAGATTAAAGAACCCTTTATTTTATTTACAAAATGGAAATACAGTATAAGCCACAGATGATATCCACGTCAGCTAGGAAACTGATATCCCTTTTGGGAAAATGATTGCATTGTTTTGTACCTACTTGTTCTTTATAATGTCAACCCTGCTCAGTTGGTATCACTCTTGCCTCTGGATCAGAAGCTGACAGTTCAAGTTCCATGTCGGGACTTTGAATTCACACAGTTTAGGCTGACACTCGAGAGTGCTTCATTGGTTATAGACACCATCCTTTGGATGCGATGTTAAAATGAAGTCTCTTCTACCTGTTCAAGTGGGCATTAAAGATCCCTTGGCACTACTCCAAAAGAGAAGAGAGGTTCTCTCTCAGCGCTTGGCCAACAATCCCCAGATAAAATTGATCATTTAATTCATGGCTGTGTATGGGACAATGAAAGTTATCTACCTACAAATTCCACAGTCATTGCACTCTACAGCATATCCTACAAAGCACATTGACACCGCTTCCCAAAGTAAAAGCAGTACCAAATGCAAGGATTATTTTTTCAAGTTGGATTTCCAGAGTTTTGTACGGTCTTAAATTTTTAGACATAAAGGCTGAACTGGCTAAAGACTAGGATGAATTTCGGGCCTTGGGTGTTATAAGAGTAGGAAAGGCAGCATAATAGACTGCACATAAATTGGGTAAGTGTCACAGTGGGAGAGGGCAGAGATGGCCTTTCAATGATGGCTTCTTAAAGCCGCCGAGCAAAAACAGCATTTATCTCTTTAGCTTGGGCCAACACTATCATGTATCATCTGACAGGCAGTTCCATAGACTTGTGTTGGAGGAAAACAAAACACCTTTATAGCCCATGGCACAAAACATGAAATGATACACAACTCTGTGAAAAGCTTGTGTGACACATCAATAACTCAGAGAGCACCATAGCCTCGGGCAACACACACTTACAAGAGTAATTTACTTCGATTTTCGTTTTTTTTAAAAAAGATATACGAGTCAAGGTGGTAATAACTGAGAAACGCTCTGTCGAATTTGGAGGAAATTATTACCAGAATTAAAACATGCCAAGTGACGGGGCTCAGAGTCTGACAGTCCAAGAATCCTTGACCTACCAGGCAAAGCGAGCACAGGCTTGTACCAGAATACTGCCCGATTCAATCATGCTCAACAAATTAATGTGTTATTTTTGCTCAGCTTGTTGTGACTTGCCATGAAAAACACCAACATCAAACAACCTGCATTTATACACAGTTATATGAATGAGGTGCCAGGCTAGCTCAGTTGGTGGCACTCTTAACTCTGAATCAGAAGGTTGTGGGTTCAAGCCCCATGTCTAAGCTGACACTCCAATGCACTGCTTCGGATGTGCTGTATTTTTGGATGCACTGTCCTTCAGATCAGATGTGAAACCAAGGTCTTGCCGAGCTGTTCAGGTGGACGTTAAAGATTCAATGTCGCTATTCGAAAAGAGGATTTTCTCCCGGTGTTCTGGTAGATACACATTGGGCCGTGCAGATATGCACTGGGCCACGTAGACACTTATCGGGTGATGGAGGTACGGGTTGCACATTATACAATAATATGGTCTGACCGTAAACTGTGCTCGGTGTATGTCTTCCTATGGGAGTGGAGAGCATGAGTGAATCACTCTTTCCTCCTCCTTAGATTCTCTGGCCAGCACCTTTGCCGACTTGATAAAAACGCTGCACACAGTGTACTTCTTTCGTTAGGACTTGAATCTTTC